ATATCTAAGCCTAATCTACCTAGGGTTAAATAAAGCAATAAAATATTAAGTATCCTAGACAATCTAGATCTCATAATGTAAGATGGAAACAACTTGACTTGCACTCCACTCAAACTCTCTCTCTCTCTCTCCGGTCCTACGCACGCGGACGCCTCGTCCAACCGCCTCACTTGCGCGCCGCCTCCATCGGTCCTACTCCTTAAGGATTAGGGCACCGCCCTTAGCGCGTGCACGCTTACCCGACGTGCGGCGCACGCTTACACCCATCATGCCGTCTCTCGCGCGCGTGTCCACCCGCCATTCCGCATTCTTCGAGGACTACGGCTTCACGTCCCGCGCGTCCCTCCTCATCAGGCGTGTTGCGCGCGCCTTCGCCCTTGGATGCTCCTCTTCGCGCGTGCTGTTCCGTCTTTCCGTATGCCTCGAGGCATACGGCCTCGTCCGCTGCGCGTGCCTCCCCCGCGCCCAACCTTTCCGCGCGCGCGCCCAACAACCCCGCGCTACGCGCGTCCTGCCCATCTACGCCAAGCACGCCAGCCGCGCACACCGCCCGCACATCCGCGTGCAGCCTTTCTTCACCCGTCTCGCGCGCACTACGCTCTAGTGCGCGCACTTCTACCGTCTCCCGTGCCTGCCTCTTGCGTGCATGGTAGGCTCGACTAGCGGCGTTCTTGAGCTGCCTAGCCACTTCCGCATCATTCCCGTCCCCTTCAAGTGATTCCTTGTCCTCAAGGATGATGTTCGGGAACTGGTCTCGCATCTCTTCAAGATCCTCCCACGTGGCTTCTTCAGATGGCAATTCCTCCCAGTAAACTAGTACTTCCCAACGATAGCGCCCTGCTCTCTTTACCTTACGGTACTCAATCGCTCGTTTTGGTTGAACTATGGCCCTACCATCGGTTGCGGTTGCAGGTAACTCCTCACAATACTTCTGCGCTTCTCCCAAGCTCCTCTTGAGTTGTGAGACATGGATAACTGGGTGGATTTGTGAGCTCTCTGGTTACTCAAGGCAATAAGCTACCTGACCAATGCGCTTTAGAATCTGATAAGGCCCATAATAGCGGACTCCCAGTTTAGTCGCGACCCTTTGTGCTGTGGTACGCTGTCTGAATGGTCGTTGCTTCAGGTAGACATACTCGCCTGGTACAAAATTTTCCTCACGCCTTTTCCCATCTGCGAAGGCTTTGGCTCAGTTAATTGA